AGAGAAATTGCAGTATCTTTTGCTGAAAAATTGTTAGCTAATCATAAAATATTTCTAGACTTCTTGAAGTCTCAAAGCCCCAATGTTCGTGCCGCAACATATTCAGTATTAAGGAGTTTCATTAAAAACATACCACAAGCTTTTAATGAAGGAAAAGTTAAAATTCTTGCCCCAGCTATACTTGGTGCTTTCCAGGAAAGAAATCCCGCTTGCCATTCTTCAATGTGGGAGGTCATATTGCTATTTTCTAGGAGATTCCCAGAAAGTTGGACTTCGCTAAATGTTAAGGAACCTGTATTAAATCGGTTCTGGAATTTTCTTAGGAATGGGTGCTTTGGATCTCAGCAGGTTTCTTATCCTGCATTGGTTCTATTCTTGGAGATTGTGCCTCCAAAAGTCGTAGTGGGGGAAAAGTTTTTCCTTGATTTTTTCAGTAACCTTTGGGCTGGAAGAAATCCATCTCAATCCTCCAATGCAGATCGACTAGCATTTTTTCGTGCATTTAAAGAGTGTCTTATATGGGGCTTACATAATGCATCAAGGTGTGAGTTCATTGATGTTCAACTAGCGAAATACTCTGCACCATCTAAGCTGCAATTTTCTTTGCATAATTCTAATTGGTCTTCTATATGATACTAGGTATTCTGAAGGTTCTGATTCCATTTTCCATTTTCAAGTCAGCCTTGTTGATGAAATCCTTGTAAAACTTCTATGGAAAGACTACCTGCTTCCTGTCAACTCAAAAGATCAGGATAGTGAATTCTCTTCAATGTCCAGGGACAGTTGTTTATCTTCTCGTAAGACTGTAGAAACACTGAACATCAAATATCCTATGAGTTATCTACAAGAGTTGGGCAGATGCATAATTGCAATTGTTTCAGATATTTACTTGTTTAAACAGGATCTGCTCTCATCTTTCTATGCATCTTTTGAGGAGAGCTGCCTGGTTCTATTTCAGCAGAATGAGAAGACAGAAGGACCTTCTCAGAATGTTTTGTGTGTCATCGATTTTCTGTTTTTACTTGAAAAACATTTAATTCAGAAAGGTGAAGCTTGGCCCTTGGTTAATTTTGTGGGACCAATGCTGGCTAAAGCTTTCCCAATGACAAAATCAGCTGTAAGTTACTGTTCTTTGCACTCAACATAGTTCCTCAAGATATGGCTTGGACTTGTGACTTTTTTAGTTTTATTATGCTCTTCTCTCGCATTTGTCATCTATGCTAGCATATAAATATCATGTGCATATTCACTTTGGTATTTTGTGCCCCAAATTTATTAGTTCTTCAGTATGCAATGTGCACCAAAACCGGGCCTTGTTGGTATTGCCTCGATATTTCTGATCAGGGAACTTCCGGTTTTACTTTGCTTATTATTTATTTTTTATTAGTAGGTAGCCATAAAGTACATGATTGGCTACCCATTAGTTCTCTTCAAGCCCATTGCTAATGGCACAAAGTCCTGGGCACTTGAACCCACTGCTTCTTAGAGAGGTTGGGAAGCACCAAACAGCTATAGCTGACTGGTTGGGAAAATTGGAAATATGTTTTCTTATTAACAAAATGAAAATTTCAGAGTCTGTATAATCATGGGAATGCCTGATCTCTATTTTCTGACATTATGTATGTGTTTCTTGCATTCACTATAATTTATATAGTTACTCAGGAGCTCTATCTTTTCCACATCAGGACTCGGTAGATGGTTTGAAGCTTTTATCAGTTTCAGCTTCAATATTTGGACCAAGAAAGATAATTCAAGAAATTTTTAGCAACAACAATGGACGTCCTCTTAACCTTCTTTCCGATGATAAAAACGGAGAATTTGATTCTCAATGTTTTCTTCAAGTTTTCAAGGAAGTTTTTGTTCCTTGGTGTTTGAATGGATATAACTATTCCACCGATGCTCGATTAGATCTTCTGCTTGCATTGCTTGATGATGATTGTTTCCCTGACCAGTGGTCTGCTATTATCTCCTATGCAACTAATTTAGAACATAAGACAACCAGGTCTGGATCTGTGGACTCTCAATTAGATGTTTTAGCTATGCTATTGGAGAAAACAAGAGAAGAAATTATGAAAAGAAAGGGACGAGAAGACTCCACTCATCGGCTAGGCTCTCATCCTGATGACTGGCATCATGAACTGCTAGAATCATCTGCTGTCACTGTTGCAAGATCCTCTCTTCCTTTCAGAACTTCTGATATTCGGTTTATATGGTATGTGAATGGGAACTGTCAACACAAATAACTTCAGTAGTGTATAATTTGAACACATGAAGAAACATAATGCACAATGCACAGGAGCAAACATTGTGACTCCTGGGTATAATTTGAATTAAATACTGTTCATTAGCATACTTGAGAATATTTTCATGGAAAATTTTTCTTTCCTTCTCCCTTCTCAAAAAAAGAAATTCTTTCGTTGTCTAGATAATGTGTATCTTCCCTTTCATACTTTATCTGGGATGCATCCATACGGTAGAATGTTGCATCCCATAGCTTACGGCACTATGCTTATTTTAAAAGAACTTATGAGTATTGATTGAATGCATTCTCTTGAATGATCCCTGTGGGTATATAGGGACAATTATTTAACAGCATAAAATTGTTTGTCTGAGCTGCCTTTATTGTTTATTTCATATTGCAACCTTTTTCTGTCCGATATTTGCAGTGCTGTTCTTGGTGGCTCAAATGAAGGCGATCAAACTTCTTTTGTGTCCAGAAACTCGTTGATTCTGATCCTTGAGGAGGTTTTCAAAAAGTTACTGTATTTTATTCTGGCATCATCTTTCAACTCAGTTAAGGATGTAGGTGCCTTCTTTACTCTTCAGGCAGATGATTTGGGGCCAGAATTAAAAGTAAGAAATCTTGCAGATGTTATCCAGATGGCTCAATCTTCAGTGGAAGTAATTGATGGTAGCATCTTCTGTTTAAAGACGCTGGGTAAGGACAGTGAGCTCCTTTCAAGTATTTCAGCTGCAGTGTTCATTATTGACTGGGAGGGTAGCATGGCAAAAGCCACAGATGATATGCTAGACAGTGGTTCAAAGGAAAAAATTAAGGCGAGGTTTGATATTTGTGACAGGATCCATGCATTCCGTTCTAAGCTAGGTAATAAATTCTGGAAGTGCATAAGCATTGATGTTAGGAAAAGATTGGCGAGTATCTTGATCTTATTTATCAGGTCTGCCATCTTAAATGAGGATAAACTGAGACCTGATGCGATTGCATCTTTTTGCTGCTTATGGATACTTGAAGTACTTGAATGCCTCTGTCTTGACCATAATGAAGAACAACATCTATTGGACCTGCTTTTGAGTACGCAGGATGCATGGCCTTTGTGGATTGGCCCCAGCATCTCAACGAAATCAACTGTAAGTATGCCCGTTCTAAATTGTGTGTAGCCTTTTCCTCAATCCCATAATCTCCTCTTAATACTTTTGCATTCTGTTTTTTTTTTGTGTATAATGTAAAAATTTAAAATAGGTTATTAAATATAAAAACAAATCCTATGAGATAATTGAATATAAAATTGTAAAAATATGTAAAGCAAAATAAAGATAAATTGAAAAATCAAGTAATGTGGTGTAAGGTTCAAATAATAAAAGTGAGTGACTTAATATTTTTAATAAGTTTGTGAGGAGAATATATGGCAGCTCCAGGTCAGAACACCATTAATACTCAAGAGAAGATAGAAAATGGTGAACCTATGTGATTTTATGCTGAATTCATATAATTTGAGCCTCTAATATCTAACAGCCAGATAATATTCAGATTTTCAAAATATATACTGTGTGCAGGTATGTGCTAGCAACAAATTTGTTTCTTTAATCGACAAGCTTATCCTGAAACTTGGGTTTGGTAGAGTTATAGCTGGTTATGCTGAGTGCATTCCTTCATCTCCTCTGAAGGAGACAATGAACAATAAAGTTTGTTCTCGGGCTTGGCTTGCTGCTGAAATATTATGCACATGGAAGTGGCCAGGAGGGACTGCTCGAACTTCTTTCTTACCTTTAATGAGTGAATATGCCAAGAGTGAAAATTACTCATCACAGGAAAGTTTGCTGAATTCCATTTTCAACGTTCTACTTGATGGCGCTCTTGTCCATGGAGAAAAGATTTCTCAGAGTTTATTTGATATGTGGCCTGCTTTAGGTGATGAGTTGGATAATATTGAGGAACCTTTCCTGAGAGCACTTGTATCTTTTCTTTTTACCTTGTTTAAAGAGAATATATGGGCAACAGAAGAAGCTATGGATGTCTTTGAATTGCTGGTACATAAGTTGTTCATAGGTGAAGATATAAGCATGAACTGTTTGAGAATTATCCCTCACACCATGAGTATTCTTATACGACCTTTATGTCGGAGAAGTACTGAATCAGGTGAATACAGTGAAGACGCTCAGCAGAAGGTGCAGGATAACATAAAAGGCTGGCTTGAGAGAACTCTCACATTCCCACCTTTAGTTGCCTGGCAAGCTGGGGAAGGTAACTTTGATAAATTTCGAATCTCTAATTTTTAGCATTTACAGCAAGATATGATTATGTGTGTCATTATTTGAGAAGTCTTAGGACTACAAGCGACTGAGTGAGACTCTGATACATAGTTTGTATTGAAAAAATTAACAGTCTGCGTCATTTTTTTATGGGTAAGAGTCATGCAGCCCCACATTTGACTACTGGAATAAATCTGTGGTTAACAACCCACTTGAGGGAGATTGTAATGACTCTAATGTATCAGACCATCTACTAAGTACTTGTGGTTGATTAACCTGTTATCTTCCTAGTTATGCTAATCGATGTCTCTTTCCTTGGTTGTGTATCTGTCATCATTGACAGTGTAGAAAAGACTGTAGTCCAAATCTCCAATCATTTGATGTATAGCTATGGGGCAGAGTCTGTCTTGTAGCTCCAAGTGCCTCGACCCACCACTTTCTTACCCTTATTTTCTTTTCCAGTTTTGTTGACAGTTTATTTCACATAAATATGGTGTATTTGCCTTAAAGTATATATACATATATGTAAAATATGTCCTCTTAAAAAAATAGCAGTAACGGTAGTGTTTCTTCTATTCTTATAGATATGCAAGAATGGTTTCAGTTGGTTATATCTTGTTATCCTTTAAGAGCAATGGTTGAAGTGACAGAACCAGAGAGAAACATCAGCCATGAGGAGAGGGCACTCTTGCTTGATTTATTCCGCAAGCAAAGACATGGTTCTGGTGCACCAGGCACTTTTAATCAGCTTCCACTTGTGCAGATGTTGCTCTCAAAGCTGATGGTAATTTCAGTTGCTTATTGCTGGCAGGAGTTTAGTTACGAAGATTGGGAATTTATATTCTTGCATTTGAGGAGTTGGATACAATCTGCTGTGGTGGTAATGGAGGAGGTCACTGAAAACATAAATGATGCCATTGCGGATTGCTCTTATTCTGATAACCCAGATATCATGCATGAGAAATTTAAGCAGATCCTGTCGGTTTCTGATCCTTCACTTATGAATATTTCTAAAAATGCCCTTGTATCATTTTCTTTGTTTTGTGGGCTCGTGGGGATTGAAGGGGATATGATGTCCTCAAGAACTGAAAGGTGGGAATCAATTAAAGATCGGATTTTTGAAGGAATTCTTCGCATATTCTTTTGCACTGGCATTGCAGAGGCCGTTGCTGGGTCCTATTCTCATGAGGCTGCATCTATCGTAGCATCATCTCGGTTCGATCATCCATCTTTCTGGGAGTTAGTGGCTTTAAGTGTTGTTAAGTCATCTCTAATCACCAGGGATAGGGCAGTTAAATCAGTTGAATTCTGGGGGCTGAGTAAAGGGGCCATTTGCGCTTTGTATGCCATCTTATTTTCTTCCAGACCAGTTCCATCATTGCAATTTGCTGCATATGTTATTTTGTCAACTGAACCTGTTTCCCAGGTTGCTATTTTGGCTGAAGGTACTACTTGCTCCAATTGTGATTCTAGTGGTGACCAAGATTCAAGCAATGCTGCCTGGTCTTCTGAAGAAAGTGTCCATTTGAGAGAGGAAATATCTTCCATGATTGAGAAATTGCCTTCTGAGGTTCTTGATATGGATTTGACTGCCCAAAAAAGGGTAGGTTTTCAATGCAGTGTATATACATTTCTTATTACCGTCTCTATGGAAATATATTTTTATAAATACTATTTAGTAGTTGCATAATGTATTTATCTCTTCTAATTGACAGGTAAATGTATTTCTTGCATGGTCTCTGTTGCTATCTCATTTATCGTTGTTACCATCATTATCACATCAATGGGAGAGATTGGTGCAGTATATCCAGGATTCGGCAAATTCAGTAATATTAGATTGCCTTTTCCAGCATATTCCTTTGGAATTATGCATGGTTCATAACCTGAAGAAGAAAGATGGGGAGCTTCCTTCTCACGCATCAGAGGTTGCAACTGCAGCAACACATGCCATCGCGACAGGTTCTCTGCTGTTTTCAGTGGAATCACTTTTCCCAATCGAACCACTGAGAATGGCATCACTTGCTGGAGCAATGTATGGTTTGATGCTTCGTTTTCTGCCTGCTTTTGTTCGAGGTTGGTTTAGCGATTTACGTAACCGCTCAGACTCATCTCTGATTGAAGCCTTTACGAGATCATGGTGCAGCCCTCTTCTAATTGAGAATGAAATCTCTCAGGTGGGTGGTTTGAAAGGGGTATTCTCATTTTAAAGCCAAAGTACTTACACAGGAAGAAAACTGAAAAGCCTTTGTACTTTCCCCAACATAAATACTTCCCCATATGTAATTAGAAAGACCAACTAAAGTTTTCAAATGTGTTGTAGAAATGGTTGATTAATAGGACATGTATTTATTGCCTAAGGAAGATCATACGTTAGTCATCAACAAATTTTCATTCTTTTGGGCCCTTTTACCTGGCCTAGCTGGCTAGATATTACTTGCCACTAAAAAGTCATCGACAGGAATATCCTCACATCCAATTAACTGTTAACTGTTTGTCTGTAACTTGCTCTTCCCTGCGCCATGTTTGTATCTATTTTATGTTTGTGAGAGTCTTGACTTCATCTGGAAAGACAAGAGTTAAATATGATCCAGCTCAGCAGTTTAATTAAAAATTATGATGTGCGAGATGATTTTTTTTCTTGGTTGCAGATAAAGAAAGCCAAATTCACTGATGAGAATTTTTCAGTCAGTGTAAGCAAATCGGCGAATGAGGTTGTTGCTACCTATAGAAAGGATGATACGGGAATGGATTTAGTTATTCGCCTTCCTGTATCTTATCCATTACGGCCTGTTGATGTTGATTGCATGAGGAGCCTAGGGATTAGCGAAGTCAAGCAGCGGAAGTGGTTAATGTCTATGATGCTGTTTGTTCGCAATCAGGTAACGGAAATACTGCTTTCATTTTGTTTTTTTTTTTGATTCCGTTTCTTTTCTTTATTTTCTTTTTATACCCAGCAATCATATGAAAAAGTTTATATACATGCATCTAGGTGTTTGGTAGTTTGATCGGGCAAACACTTATATACATGCATTTACTGCAAGCTTTGTTTCAGTAAAGGAGAATTGGGGAAAAAATAAATAGGATCGATATTAGCTGTTATGAATTGCCATAAATATGACTATAGTACTGGACCTCTCAAATGAATGGATATTTTTTTGCTCTTTTCATGCAGAATGGAGCTTTGGCTGAAGCTATACGAACTTGGAAACAGAACTTTGACAAGGAATTTGAAGGCGTGGAGGAGTGTCCTATCTGTTATAGTGTCATCCACACTGCAAATCACAGCCTTCCTCGCCTTGCTTGCAAGACATGTAAACACAAGTTCCATTCAGCCTGTCTCTATAAGTGGTTCTCAACTTCTCACAAGTCAACATGCCCATTATGCCAGTCTCCATTCTGACCTAAGGCATCAATTTTGAGCTATATGAATTCTATTTATGATTGTAACTCAGACTCCTTTGTACATACAAGTCAAGGATTATGAATATGCTGCATAATCTAGATAGCAGAACTGCAAGCTGAATATTGAAAGAAATAGGTATTGATTCAGAGATGTAGGTCAAAATACATGTAGAGATCAAAAGCTGTGAGTTCTCCCTCTTTATTATTCTCTATTGTTTTGACATCTCTCTATTATTTTACTGTTAAGATGATTGAATTAGTGATAACTGTTCTCTTTCCTCTCCCCTCCCCAACCAATCAGGTATTGCCTTTAAGAAGCTTTCTTGGGAAACCCAGTTACATCTGCCACAAGGAGAGTTCTTACTTATCTACATATCACAACAAAAATGATTACTTTAAAGCAGCACCATGAAGTCTGCTGGAGGTAATTCTAGATTATTGATTTAGCGCCTCTCTTGCAGCTCTTTATGAATGTACCAACATCAACTAATACTGTGTTAGCACAGGTTTTCTATTTTATCCTTTTAATGGCGATTGAGTTAATTTGAAGATAATATTCTTTTGTTTTTTAGGAACCATCAGATAATTGAAATGAAAAAAGAAAACCCAAAAAGAAAAGAACTGTTTTGTTGGGAGTTTCTATTGATTTTCTTTTTTTTTTTTTTTTTTTTTTCAAATTCCAGGTTGAACTTGTTTCTCACACATGAGGAGGAGCCATGTTATTATTGTATCAAATTTGTAAATGATCATTTAACCAGTCCAATTAAATGAGAAAGACTTCAGTTTTGTTTTGTTGAAATACCTTATCACCTGTTTGATGCTCAATATTCACCTAAAGTATTTGCAGGATGGATGACGGATCCGAAAGCTTGTCGAGGCTAATAGATTTTGGATATGTTGACATAGAGGTGGAAGGATTGGGTTGATCGAATTGAAACATTATATAAGGTATTCTTGATTTTTGATTTTTCATCGAACTAGTGTAGAAATTTTTAATTTTTCTACTACAAATTTGGTATGAAGTTAACGTTACAAGTTTAGCTGATATTATATTTGAAAATATCAAATATAATACTGAATGGTTTGTATTGTATTAGATGATATAATTTTATAACCACTGCCTTAAAAAAACATTTGGGATCTTTCTCTGATACGTAATTTCCGAGAACGTTTAGGGTATTTTGGGTTTTTCACTTAACATGGGCCTCTTTTAGAAATCTCTGGAAAGCTAAAAGTATAACTGTTTTAGGAAGCCCAGATAACACGCGTCAAAATGTTGTAAACTGATGTAAGACTTTTTAGATGCTTCTGACTTCGTCACTGACGTAACCTCGTAGTATAGGTAATAGAAATAATAAAATAATACTTGTTTGGTATAATAGGTATGTATTGATAGATACATATATATATTTAAAAAACATGTTGATACAAATTTGACGCGATTAATAATAATATATTAAATCTGAGTTTGTAATAGTTTTATATGGTTTAGGTCATAATTGTTGAATTGTGACTCCAACTTTGAATTATAAATTTAACGTTTTGAATTATACCGAGATGAATGGTAAGATTTCGAATATTTTAAAAAAATTTATAATCGGCATTGGCAATTATAAAAAATTTTGTTTCCCAGATAATTTCTGTAAATATGTAAGACAATTCTTTTATGATCGTAATTTATTTTTGATAAGGCAACTGCTTATCTTTAAAATTGAAACTATTAAATAAATGAGAATAAATATTTTATTACATTTATCTGTTAAAAATAGAATCGAAAATAATAGTATAAATTATATCAACCTTAAATCTTTTTTTTTTTTAATTGAATCAAATTGTATGATAAAAATTAAATGATAAAATCATAAGATTCTGTTAACAATAAATCCACCAATTATTGGACTGAAGTCCCACTAGGGCATATACTCGTATGCTGTGTGCATGTTTACTTTTAAATAAACTATTTAAAAATTTTTCAAATAAAAATCATTATTTTCCACTATAATTATTGATTAAGATTGAACCCCATATGATTAGCGATATATATTATAAGTTCTCATCGTTTAGGATATTTAGTCTATTATGTATTCCCTTTCTTCCCCACTAGCTAACATAGGATATATCAATAAAATAATAATTAAAATGTACACGTAAAATCAGTGTATGTAACATAGATATACATATTGGAGGCAGTACATTGGTTTTCATATCCCTTTCTCAAAAGCATATCCATATTTACGAACATAATTAAATTAAGAGATTTGTCTTTGAAGATACTAATTTCAACATCTGGATAGCAATTATATATACACCTTTATACATAGGGGAACATATGTTTAGCCTCTCTAGCTACGAACAACTACCAAGTCTAATTAATTAATCATAAATTAACAACTAACTATTCACTAGAAATGTCATAAAAAATGGTATAATCTAAATTTTAAAACACTTCCAATCTAGCTTAATTGAGCTCAGTATTGATAGTTAGCTGTCTGGACTATGCTGCTGGAAGTTGCAGCTTTATAGTTTGTAACTTAGTATTTAAACTCTAGTTACCAATAAAGTTATTACTTACTTGGTGGAATAAGGTTGTCTGTAATAGAATATCGTTTGACAATGAGTGAAAAATCATATAATTATAGCATATTGTTTTGTTAACTCCTTATAATTTCATTAATGGATACTTGGTTTAGTAGAAAATTAGTTGGAATAAAAGTACAATTAATTACGATTGACTAAAACATCTTCTTCTATTATACTTTATTAAAAGGTGTATTAGATATTTAATTATAGAAAGCATGTGTATAATTGACCAAAAACTAGAAGAAGAAAAAAAAAAAAAAAAAAGGACTGTAAGACAAATTGTAATTATGATTGATGACCTACCCCAGTCATGGAATCATAGTTGTAGAATGTTTTACAATGATAGTTCCTTAGAATCACAATTCAACCAATCAAATCTAGTACCAAATATTTTCATTATAAAAGCTATTGCATCCCAATCTCATTCCAATTTGGTGACCACAGGAGTATTAGATGGTAAAAGTTTTGATAAAGAATTTTTTTTTTAAAGAAATAAAGGAAGCTTTCAAGAACCCTTTTTTTTTAAAAAAAAAAAAAAAAAAAAACTCATAAGAGATAATAGTGGTATTAGATAAATATTATTTATTAATAAAATATAAATTGGTAGTTTACCGTAATAATATAGTAAAGATTAATCGATTAAGCGTCCTACCGGTTGAGGTAGTATCTATATGTAGAGACATGAAGTTTGGTAGTAATTTTTCAATATGAATTATAAGATTATTATAAATTTATTAATACCTAAATTTTAATATTTAAATATGATATAAAAGTAGAAATAATTTTGCTTTGATATTAGTTTATAACGAGTTAATTAATTTTTTTTAGATTTTTAAAGTATTTAACATTTTATGAGATTAGTTTTCAAAGCATTTAGGGTTATTGGGGTTGTTTTTTTAAGTTATTATGGTCACCTACATTGAGCCCTTAAAGGATCATGAGGCTTTTAAGAATCAATGCTCTAATTGTTTGAAATTTTTTAAGATCAACCCAAGGATTATAAAAAAATTTAGCCTTGAAAGTTAGTTTAAGATGTATTTGAGATCTATAAAGATTACTCTTCAAGAAATCTAAGATAGTTTTGGTTGGCTCCCAAAAGAATTACGATAATTATAAGTAACATTGTATTGTAACGGAATAATTAATATATTTCTTTATTTATAAAATATTATAATTTTTAATCGAGTTACGAAGAAAAGAGCATCCGATCGATTCATTTTAAAAATTTAAAAAATTAATAAAAATATTATAACTGACCGAACTGTACGTAACAACCAAAACTAAATCTATCAAATATATTTTGAACAATCAAAAATAAATTAATAAATTTAAATTTTAAGATATATTAATGAATTGATTTATAATATGTGTATATAATTATTAATTGATAAATGGTTTTACTAACCTTAATGAGTTTTATTTAAAGTTAATTACGTTTCTAAGTGAAGCCAGCCGCCGTGGAGAGGGTTGGGGTCAACTTGTTCTAGTGGTTGCCCTACCCTCAAAAACAATTAATTTCGCAGTATAGCCGAAAGTCGAAACCATTAAATTAATCTCTACCTTTTTTCAACCCACAACTGTAATTAATAATAAACAATAAAATATCAAGTTATTTTATAATCTGAAAATTGAATTTAGCAAATATACATATAAATATTAATTCACAACTGCATTGCTTATATATATATATATATATATATATATATATGTATGTATATAGCACTAGCTACAATTAACCATATATAAAAAAAAAAAATGTCATTTTCGAATATTACGTGGTCCATAATTCATATTTGTGCATTGTCAAAGCGCAATTAATGAAGTAAAATTCCATATAACATTTCTAGCTTTAGTGTGATGGTGATAATTTTTTAACGGGTTTTCTCTACTGAGATATATATATTTATATATCTATATATGTACATATATATATTTTGTGGTTGAATTTTATATATTGTTTGTAGTATTTATTTATTTAACCAAGTTTAACTTTTTAATGTGCACTTGGTTAACCGGTTATCATAAAATAATAACCAAAGATGAAAACTTTGTGGTTAAAAATGATTTTTGAGGTAAACATTTATAGAGATATATATATATATATATGTGTGTGTGTGTAATTATGTATATGTATATAGTATAAAAATCTCAATTAATTTGGCTTCTCGTTTCATCATCATCTTCTTCTTTTTTCCTCTCGTTTTATTCATCATTTAAACATTTAAATTTACAAACATAATCACAAATTGAATTTAAATACCTCACACTACGCCACTCAAAAAAAAAAAAAATCATACTTTAAATATTGTCGGTGCGTATCTAATTGAAAAAAATTATAAACAAGAATAAAAAATAAAAAAAAAACTTTGTACATATAATTACGTATATTAAAATCTGTACGAATTCGTTTTGTTCGACTTTTATGAACTCAACTCAATACGATTTTTTTTTAAAAAAAAAATTAAATTTAAAACAAAACAAGTATAGTTTGACATCAAAATTAGTGTAGAATATGATAAATTCAACATTAACGTTTTAAAACTGGCTCAAACTCATATCTCATTGTACTTATAAAATTTTATTAATATGTATAAATAAATAGTAATCTTTCTTCCACCTCAACTTTGCACATCTCTTCTTTCCTTCCCTCTTGATCTCTTGAGGAGCAAGTAAGCAACAGTGGACAAGGAGTGATCATGAGCGAGGAGCGACGACAAAATGAAAAGGAAAAGCGAATGAGCTACGACAAGAAAAAGAAAAGAAGAAAAATCAAGTGAACAAGAGAGAGGAAGAGGTTTAGGGTTAGGTGTTGTCTGCCACATGAAAGATGGAGAAGATAGAAAATTTTGAATTTTAGAAGATTATGTTTTTCTTAATGATTTTTATGCACATATCTTTTATTTTAACAAATAAAATATATATATATATTCATAAATATGCTATGATTTAAAAGAATAATAAAAAATTAAACC